TCTCTTTAAAAAAAAATACTGCTTCATGAATCGAGATTTCAGTCCATGGATAGACGGCAGCGAGTAAACTTTAAGGACTATTATAAATGGAGATTATTCATAGTACGATGAATCATGCATATAGCTAAAAGACTGCATTGACCAGGTCCAAGGGACAAAAATGTACCATTAGCCTAGCTATAGGCATAGGTCGATTATATTTCAATTATGGTTAGGTTCTTGTTGGACTTTGGTGGCTAGAGTGTCAACAAACCGTGGTAGGATGCGGGACAAATCATCTAGGCCTTGATGAAAGATTACACCTTTGTCAAGCCTTTTCTTGACTTCAACTTTTATGAGGAGAATAATTGAACATACTTGAAGAAGAATATAACCTATCTAAAAGAATTTCCTCATTTTGTTGAAATATTGATTTCCTTCAAAAGTTGAAGACGACCTCAATGATTAATAATGTACCTAGATAAATTCTAGAGGTTCTCTTCTCAGACTATAAACTTAATTAACCCTTAATCTTTATCATAACTTTCTTTAGCATACTATGACTATGAGAGCAATCCAGATTTAAATTTTAAATACCGAAAGGATTTTGTACATTTTGAAATCAAGGAGAATTTCTGACCATCAATAAAGAACAAGCTTATCTGGATAACATGTAGCTCTGTCTCTACAAGCCTATATACTTCCTCTACAAATACCTTACAGGATTTGAATATGTATTTGCATCTAATAAGCATTTGCGCAAGATCAACAAGCATTTAGAACAAATATATATAATAAGCCAAGTTCCATGTCAATTAAGTCCGGTCAAGCTCAAACCCGTCTTATCTCACCGAACCAATTAACAAATCATTATATAGAAAAGCACTATTTTCATTTAATAACTTCTATATATATATGTTGAGCCTTGCTTGTAAGGACCAACTTGGATGCAGAGTAAGTCACCAGAGGTCGTCAGATTATTCATTAGTTAAGATTTCTGACCCACTTAAATTAATCTTCTGCATGAAGCAGTACTATATGAGAGTATTATATATTTATGTGCATGTGATTGGATGCAAGTGATTATATATATAATTAATTACAGGATAAGTAGGATTCCAAGACCATTGGTTTCGCATTGGCGCTAAGATAAAGATGATAATTGTCATTATATGGGTGAACTGGCACAAGTTAGGTCATGTGCATGCATCAAATTGTTCAGTTACCATGAGTAAATCTGTACAACTACTAGATTAATCAATGAAATATATGCAGCACTAACTCAGTGCAGCATGCAATTGCAATATTGTCTGAAACATTAATCTAATAAAATATTTTATCCATGTGAATCCATCCATTTCTTTCTATGCCAGAACTGCTACATTTATTTTTTATTTTTTTTTAAATTACTCATTTGCGTTCTTGAATCTATTTTCAAGATAGTAAGCTAAGATGAGAAAATTAGGGTGTAACCAATCAAAAGTTAAGGTAACTATTAACTAAAAACAATTTTATCCTTCTACCAAAAAAATGAGTATTTACACATGTAAGACTAATTTGTAGATTTACATATATTCCGTCCATTCGCTTTATTAAATTTCCAAAGTGTGATGAAATAAGTTGCACTCGGTTCCCCTTACTAAATCTTCAAACAAGTTTTATGAGTTATATTAACTTCCCTTAGCTTATTCTTTGTTCACTTACTTCTCTTCACTAGAGGCAAATCCAAATAGGCCCTTAGCGAGCCAAACTAAATAGTGCACTAAATTATTGCACTATTTTACAAATATTTATTGTTGATGCTACTCAATGAAAAAGTCTTTATCCTAAAATCCAAAGCTTTTAAGAAACTTCAATCCAATTATCAGTGAACTGTCAATACTAGCTCCTATAGCATTGGATGGAAGAAACTTCACTTGGTTTGTTGATGATGTGATTGAAGAAATGATTGTTCAGATGAAATTGTCAAGCAACAGGCCGAGGAATTAATTAGTTGTTAATTTAGTACATTACTTCCTTCTTTTGGTCGCCTAGACTGTTTTATGTCAGTACTCAATACATTCACTTATTTCATTCCTAATAACCTTCCTCACACTAATCATATAATGGACTTATTTTGACATAAGATTGCTACGTGCCTTTATAATTATATGATGATTGTCTTGAGAAAAATGTGAAGAATCCTAGGAACTTTACTTTTCATAATTACAACAGAAAAGGGAAATGATAGAAAGATGCCAGGTCTCTATCATTATTTGTATAGTCTCGATTCAATTATTCTTTTGTTGCTAATTCACCCAAAAGGTACACATTGATTATAAATTATTCAAGTACTAGGTCAATTAATGGCATAGAGTTTAATTTGGCTCTCCAATAATATTATGTGATTTTTGATGAACTTATATTCTTTGTATGAGCGTGTGGATCGATAGGTAAGAAAATTTGAAAATACTCTAAAACTTATGATATTTAAATTTCTACTCTGAAATGAAAGTTTCAGTTTGATTTTATAACTTACATACAGACGATTTGTTTTTGTTTTTCTATTTTTATCTTTTTAACTTTGGTATCAAATCTACCAAAGTTCAATTCTTTTGCTGGTTACTGAGTTTGTTCAGACTGAAGACTAAGGATATGTTGGTTTCTCAAGGTTGGCTACTTGATTCCTCTTGTGTCTTTTGCAATGCAGAAGAAACTCATAACCACCTGTTACTCACTTGTCCCCTAGGTAGTCAAGTTTGGAACCAACTCTTGCCGAGGATTGGTATCAGTGCCATTCCACCAGATATTCATAAGTGTTTTGCGTTATGTTTGGACAGCTCTACCCTTTCTTCTGTGCGCCTTCTCTGGGGTATCAGTTTTCCTACAGTGTGTTGGATCCTCTGGAAAGCTCGCAACGACCGTATCTTCTCTAACTCCACCACCTCACCTCAACAGATTACCTTCAAGGCAGCTCACTATATCCTTTTCTGGACAGGTGCTTCTTCTTCTAAGAAGGCCATCAAGCTGAAGAACATCATTCGTTCTTCCGGTCTAGCGGACATCAGAGAGTCTAGAGAGGACAGCAGCAGCCCCCCTTGAGCAGCAGGCACTCCCCTTCGTTCTTTTGTTCTTTTGGTAATTCATGTTTGTAGTAGAGTTAGGTTATAGTTGTTTTGCTTTAGACATCTACTAGTGATTGAATTTTTACTCTACCTCAGAGTTGCTGTCTCAATCACCAGTAGATATCTACTTTTGTAATTTCTCGGATACTTCTATATATACATATGATAGGGCAAGTTGCCCTATTTTACATCAAAAAAAAAAAAAAAATGGTATCAAACAATAAATTGATGTTAAGTTACTTCAAATTATGTAACTTATAAAAGAATAAATATGTAATTAAAATTTGATTTAATTTAGAACACTCAAACAAACCCTTTATAATTTAAAAAAACTAATGCACAAATAATTGAGACAGAATTAATTATGTATTTCTTATTGATGCCATCATGATATTTAAATTGAATTTCTATTTCTTGTACATCTGTTAAATTTTCTACCAGCAGCTATCTCGCATCATCTAACTATTTGATTCATTTTTCTTTTCTCTTTTCATTATTTAGAAACATGTTGCTAACTTCTGTAACAACCATAACCACATGTTTCCTTCCATAGTATTTCTTGTGAAGAAAAATTAACTAGCTTGCAAACCTGACATAAACAAGTTTATACATTAATAGAGGAGATTCTAAGTTACCAACCAAATCAAATTTGAGTAGTCTGTGGTATCCTAAGAACTTAGCATGGGATTGTTGAGCTAAAATTATTGGGGAACATTCTACAGCTGATATTCTGGCCAGTTTGAAAATGAGTAAATTAGATAAGTATACCAAAAGTAGTTCAACACCAAAAAGTTTGGTTAAGACTACAGCTCAAAAAGGTACACATTGTAGTTTCATGGGCAGCAAGATCCTAAACTACCCCAAACAGATACTTTCTCTAAAACTTGTCAATGACCTGTGATATCTCCAAAGGC